TTCTTCGTCCCGACGACGACGCCCTCTCCGTTTCCATCCGTGACGATCGTCTCTCGTGATTTTTGAATTCGGAGGGACTCTCCATCGAGAGAAGCACTCCTCCGTCGAGAACGGTATTCGTCGAACGCTCCTTTCGAGAAAGACCAACGACCCGGTACTTCGGTTCTTCGACTCGACGGTCGATCTTCCCGAGCGGCGGTGACATCCTTGACGAGACGTCCCGCACGGCCCTCGTCCTTGACTTTCGATCACCCTCGATCGGCTCGGGTCGCAGAGGCCGTCGTCGGAATATTTATTACCATGCAAAGATGGCGAGCCGCGCGGGAAAATGGCAAAACGGAGACGTCGAAGCTATACGGGCCGGGCACGAATTTACGACACGGCGACGCTCGTAACTCGATTTTTTACCTTTAACTCCGACGGGCTCTCCACGGGGACGTTGACTCGTCGCGAGGGTCTTACGTCGGGACGCCGAACGGCTCCGGTCGAGCTAGTCGCCGCGGCCGGTCGAACCGAAGGTATCGAAACGGCAGGATTGGAATCTCGCCACCTCGAGTGACCGGATCGAGAACACGGGGCCGGAGCGCTCTCCGGCAACGAAACGTGGAGTCGCGGTGGTCTCCCGGCCAAACGAAGGCGGGCGTCTATCTCGGAAATTCGTCCTCGGTCCAACAGGTTGGACGGCCCTGGTCGCTTTGGCCGTTTTCCGTCTCGATTCGCCATGTCGCGTCTTTTTGGGTTCCGCGCGAGAGTACCTACGGATTTCCGCCGAGGCGAAACGAAGCCGCGTTCTCTCGGGTCCCGCCGGATCCGAGAGGGCCGCGCGGCAACGTCTCGAGGAAACGGCGGAGTTACGGAGGGTAGTTGAAATCGCCTTTTACGCCGACTGCACGCAGTCGGCGAGGTCATTCGCTGAATGATTTATCACCGAGTCCTGTGGAGAATTCGCTCGCCTCGCTCTTCCCGGCCTCGGGAAAAAGTTGCGGCCCGAATCGATCGTCCGGAATGCCTCGGATCGGGTACCGACGTCGAAGCGGAACACGAGTCGACGAACCGACGAACCGCCGTTGATTCCACGTAGGCGGAAGCGACTCCAGCCATCGGGCAATTTAAGATCGACGAATTGGCAATTTAATCGTCGAACGTATCTTCGTCCGGCCGAATTCGGTCGGAGTACCTTTTCGTCCTCGGTTCCTGTCGGAGGTCGCGACGGATCCGCGGTTCCCGATCGAACGTTCCGCGTGCCAGTCGTCGCGGGGACTCGTCCAAGAGCACTCTCCGGGGAGGACGCGAGGCGATCGAACGGGTTAATTTGCGAGCGCAAATACGATCGTTTCGTCCCGACCAAGGATAGCCGGATGGACGAGAGCCGAATCCTCGGAGGTGATCGCTCGCGGAAACGAGAAACCCGATCGGTCAAGGACACGTCGGAGGTTTTAAGGTTCCCGCCGGACTCGTGCCCCGGGTCGTCGCCGTCTCTAGCAGCCGTAAAAGTGAAACCGGATATCTGTACTCGGAGTCGAGGACTTGGCTCCCGGCCGGGCGTAAAAGAGGATAAGTGCTCGGCTTCCGTATCCTCGTGACCACCGGCTCTCGATCGTTTCGTCCCGTCGACCTGCCGGTGCTCCGGCGCCTCGCGAAGTCGTCGTCGCGGACGGCCGAGTAGCCGCTCGGTGCCGATTCAGCGCTCCGGGGTGTTTGCTCTTCTGGCTCGAGTCCGTTCGAGTTCCCGCGGTCGGTTCGCTGCAGTTTCGCTCGAGGAGTCGCGGCTCGGACGTCGACTTCGATGACGCTGCATATTTGCGGGTTCACCGGCTCGAACTAACTTTGCGATTGTTTGAAACATCGTCGAGGTTACGAGCTGCCTTTCCCCTCGACGTCCAGCGTCGATACCGTTTTCGGGGCCGGCGCTTTCGCTTACCTTCCCGCGGGTTCTTTCGCCCGTTTCCCGATCGGAGTCTCGATGCCGAATGCGGCTGAAAGGACGGGGACGTCGAGCCGAGGCGCCCGGGTCGCACTTTCGGCAACGGACGGTTCCTCCGAATTTCCCGCCGAGGTAAACTCCGTCTTTGTAGGCGCGTGCCGCCTCCTCTGGCGAGCACTCTCGAGTTCACCGGGGATCCCGAGGGTCCGCGAGGAGTCGGCCCCGTCTTCTTCCCTCCCGTCCGCGAAATTAGCTCGACGAGGACGTCGAGTGACGTTCCCGAACTCGCTACGGACAACCGCGACGAGTCGAGCAAGTTTAACGCCACCCGAGAAATTCCATTTCCGAGCAGGGCGTCAGCCGGAGAGAGTCGGGGAAGGTTTCGACGGGAAGAAGTTGGACCCATGGACGTCACCCAGCCGAAGTCTTCGAACCGGAAGGGGGCTTCTCCCCTTGGACTAATCGTTCGGGCTCCTCCGACTCCGGTTTACCGAGTCGTTACCTCGTTACCGATATATATAAGGTCGCGGGCGGAGCCGGCGGGCTCGACTCGACGACTTCTCGGCCCTTGCGAAATTTTGGCAACGCTAATTGCCAAACTTCCGACCCGCGGAACTTTCCCCCGTCCCGGGGTCTTTCGTCCCCGTCGCCGGGGAACTTCTGGCTGCCACTCGCTCGGGAGCGAAAAGACGGGAAGGAGATGGAGAAAGTACAAAGTGTCTTTGTTAAATAGGACTTAATCGTCGCTCCGGTCCCGGGGACGGTCGATGCTCCCTTCGATATCCGATCTTTCGGAACACCGGACGGGGGGCGGTACTCGCTAAATTCTTCCCGGAGTCGACCGGAAGGACCGAGAGAGAAGAAGGCTCGAAGAGCGGAAAGTTCGGGCCGGAGTCGGTCTCTTTGAGCGTTTCGCTCGTCAGTCCTTAAACTAATCGGCGGCCTCCCCGACTCCGGGCCGAGAAGTTGCTCTCGAGTTTACCGACTCGGTACCTCGTTACCGATATATAAAGTTGCAGGCAGGCTTCGGCTCGATTCCGCGACGTCTCCTCGTTGCCGGCACCGAGTGCCGAGGAGCCTCTACCCGGAGAATTTCGATCGCACGACGACTCGGCTATTTCCGCGCGGAAACTTTCCGATCGTCTTCGTTTCCCGAGTGCTCCTTGCGGTCGGACCCCTCGTTCCTCGATTCCGAGGAGGTCCCGAGCCCGCCGAACTCTCGACGCTCGCGTCTCGAAATAGGCGAGTGACCCAGTGTCTATGTTTAAGCGGTTTTTGACTCCGCCCGTTTTACTCGGCCCTCAGGAATGAAATCGAGAAATGACTCGGAGCGCGTCGTCCGTTTTTCCGAAGCGGATCGAACAATTTACCCGACACGATTCGATTCGCTCCCGACGTCCCGGGGTCGAGGGGAGCGGTAACGAGACCGTCCGGGACCGGGTTCACCGGCGACGTCCACCCGAGGAGAGCCCTGGCCTTTGTGATCCCGGTGATTCGAGAGGTCGAACTCTTGACCAGAGGCTCGCCGGTCTCGTTCCCATTTATTTTCAAGTGACTCGCCGTGCCCGTTATAGGTATTGGAAAACGTAACCGTGAAAGCGCCGCATCGCCGGACGGAATGGCATCGACGCATCAATTTGCTTTGCGGCGTCGTTCCATTTCCGATTCGAGCGTGTGCGCTGTCGGCAGAAAAAGGGGGAAAAAGGTCGGATCGAAAAATGGGCGAATTTTCCTCGTCCACGCTGAATTTCTTTGTCCTCTTCCACCGAGAACCGGTAAACATTCGTCCGCGGGGACGGTTTCACCAATAAATTTCCACCAAGTAATTATTTTATATCGGTGGAGTGGCGGACGATCGAGAGAGCGAGTCGGCAAGTTCCGCGCCAAGTGCTCGCCCCGGGCGAATCGGTGCCGCGCGTCCTCGTTAATAAAATGTCGGGGCGGGCGAATTTTGCCGGGCGCCCTTAAACGAGTCTCCGGGCCTTGGGAGAAAAAGAAAGGAAAAAGAAAAACGAGAACGCTAATACGAAAAATGGGCGACGGGACCTCCCGCTGTCCAGCGGGCGGATCCTTTTCCCGCTGCTCGTCCTTAACCTTTGGCGAGCCGACGTCCCCGATGCTCCCGCCCTTCCTCGACCGGTTAAACCGATCTGCCAGCAGATATCTCTTTACGATCGGCGAATCGCTTCGTGGTAAACGGGCGCGGAGGTGGAGGCACGCGGCCCGTCTCCCTTTCTCCCGGGTCCTCCGCTCTCGCGGCCGGTTCCCGGCGTTCTTCCTCTCTCCCGGCCTGGGGTGATCGATCTCGATTTTCAGTCGTTCCATTCGAAATTAGCGCGCACTTCGAGAGCTCGAGTCTTGCGTGAGTTACCGCGGGTGGTCCGTCGCGAATCCGTCGCGCTTGAGGTTCCTCGTTCGCGATTTTCCCGAAGAGTGTGACACGTAGCAATCTCCGTAACCCCGAGGCATCGGTCCGGGATTTATGGGCCACCGAGTGTGTGTCCAATAACTTATCTTACCCTCCTTCTTTTTCCTCTGCCGGCTCCCGCTTTCGATCCCCGAAGAGGGTCCAAGGAGTTGATTTTTCCAGCGTTCTCTTACCAGGAACGTCGCGGGGCGTCGCCGGTCGACCGAATTCGAGGGGACCTCGCAAAATCTGGATCGCCTCGGCGATCTTCAATTTGGCGCGTTCGATTCGTTTAGCGCATCGCTTCGACCCGGCACGAAATCCTTCCCCCGGCCGAGACTCCGCTCCTCCCATCCCGGGGAAAGAAACGTCGAGGAGCGCCGTGCGCCGCTGACCTTGTTTCAAAGAGAACCCAGCCAGAAAGGACCCGGGAAGCGGCGAAATCTCGCGCGAGAGCGCGCCTGCCTTCCTTTCCCTCCGATGAGTCTGCCTTATTTCGTTCCGCAAACGGCCTCGCCGAATCTCCATTCGTTTCCGGCTGCCGGTCGGGCCGCCTCGATCCTCGTCCCCGCCGAGCGTGGCCCTCGAAAACTCGCGCGAGCATCCGCCTCTCGCCGCCAACGGAAAGCGCTGAGATAACTACGGGTGGCGTAATTTTCTCTTCCGCAGCCGGGGAAAACGACGCCGCCGCCGCCGTCGCTGCTGCCGCCGCTGCCGCCGCCGCCACCGCTGCCGCCGCCGCGTCCTCTCCGAGGCTTCGGGAAGCGGAAGTCCGGAGGAGGCCCTCCGAGGGGAAGGATCGATGGTACCGCAGAAGAACCGTAGAACTCGAAGAGACGTACCCAGCCATCGTTAAGACGAGCCGGCACTCGTTACGGTGCTCGAGCCGAGAACGCAACAGGTGGTCGACAAGTAAGTCGAGGATCCTCCGCGATTTTGCTCCTTTCGGGGCCGGCCCGGTCGTCACGGCCGAGAAGGCCGGACGAGCGACTCGACCCGTTTCGCCGTCGCGCTCTCTCCTCCGTTGGCGGGCGAGTCGAGCCCTTCGACCGAAGGTCGTCGCCAATCGGTCCTAAATCCTGCGCAGCGCCGTCAATACGAGCGGGAACGCCGAGGCCAGTCCGTCCGGCAGCCGGTGGAGCAAGTGCCCGGGCGAGATGAGACTCGTGCAGAGACTGGCGATCAGCGGGCTGCTGTCGGTGATGCTGATCGTCCTGCTGACCGGCGCCTTCGTTACGCGGCGCGACCTGGCCAGCGTGGTGGACCGTGGGGTCGCGCCCGAGGAACGAGCCGATCAGGTCAACCCCGCCTGGGTGCGGGACAACGACCCCGTGCCCAACCAGGACTACCAAGAGACGGCGCACCACCGGAAGTTCGGCCTGATGCGGCACCGGGCCTCCTGGTCGGAGGCGCCCGCCGCGGCGCCACCGCCGACGCCGACGTCGGCCCCCGGGTCCTACGTCGTTCGGCCGCCGAATCCGCCCCTCGACGACGTCACCAACCAGCGAAGGGAGAAGGTCAAGGAGGTAAGCGCGTCCTTTCTCGAGAAACGTACCTTCCGACCCGCCGGGGCCAACGGAGCCAGCGTACAAGTCAAGGTAAGGTCACCGAGTCCTCTCGTCGGTCCGGGGACGTCCGTCGCCTGCGGTAAGTCCTGCGTTCGCCGACTCGCCTCTCGCTCCGGGCAGGGCGAAGCAACGAGCTCTTTATGGCAGAGCCGGAGCCCGGAAAAATTTCGGACGGGATCGATCGCGGGATTCCCCTTGTAATTGGACGACTACGCCCTCTTCTTTCCGCTCGACGACGGCACCGGCCTCGACACCTGGTGGATTCCTGGCATATTCGCGAAGAAACGGTCCGGACTCGCGATCGCATCGAAGGCGAATTTGAAATTACGAAGAAGAGTTAAGACCGACTCGATGGCCTACCGATCGAATTTTTTCGAGCCACCGTGCGACGAGAGAGTCGCGGTACTCTGGAATTGGATCGGGGGGCGCGTCCGAGGATTTCACGGCGATAGCCGTTCGATTACGTTAATGGGTGCAACGCGTATCGCGGAAACCACTCTCTCGATAGGCAGAAACCGAGCTTGCGTTCGGGCTCCTCTCCCCGTGTCGTTTTCCTTGTCCCCTTCTGCCTTTTTCTTGGATGCAGGGGCAACCGAGATTTGCTCCAGGAACGCTCAAAAAATCCGCGAAAAGTCCTCTCAAAAGGATCGAGTCGTTTCCTTCGGCGAACATTTTCCACGGTCGATCATTTCCCCGAGGCGCTGCAAATCTAGTTTCTTCGACCTTATCTGGCGAGCAGGGTATGCGCTCTCCGCGATTCGCCGATACCCTTACCGAGCCGGTCGCTGGGTAACGAATGGCGTTCCTGGCCAAACATCTAATTACGAGCATCCGCGGGGAATTCGACAAAGTCGCACCCCGGGCGGGGCCGGCTGGTCGTATCGTCCATCGCCGGCGGTAGGGTCGCTCGGGCACAATGGGAACGGTTCCTTTTAACGAGGCCGCCCCTTTCATACCGCGGGAAGGGGGTCGGTAGCTCCACTTAGCAAAGATTAATTCGCGCTATTAGCCTGCGGTCGGGACAATGCGCGCGACTCGCCTCGGACAATAACAAACAAAGCCGTAATTACGGCGAGACGTCGCCAAAAGGGGAGCGGGTCGGCCCGGTCGGTCCGCGAGGGGCGCGAGACGTAAGGAAGAGATCTCTTCGATTCCGCGGGGGTTCGAGGGAGCCGCCTTCCTAGATTCGGCATCTTCCGTCTGGTTACGTCCGGGGAATTGGATCGCCCGTGGCGGAGATCCGGAGGTCCCTTTTGTATCGGGGAGGCGCGCTCTCGAGGAGATGCCTTTAGCGACACCTTGCCGTTATACCTCCGATGGGTGCCTCGGGACGATAACCCGTCACCTGGGTTTTATCATTGTTCGGATAAACGTGCAGATCCTTCGGCGGCACGTAAATCGACGAACGGGAGAGCAGGCAATTTTCTGATTGGCGGGCGAAAGAAATCGCCATCAAGACGTTCCGTCTCTGTCGCGCGTAACGAGACGGGAGGGATCTCGATTTTCCGGGCGGAATCGATTGGATCCACCGACGCGACGGCTCGGCTCGATTATCCCGTCTCGAACCCTGATTCGGCGTCTCCGTAAACCGTCCTCGAGGAAAAGGGAAAGCAACGAGGCCCTTCGGGAGCCCCGGGAGAAAAATCGAGTTCGCTCTCTCGAGGTGGAGGAGCGCGACATCGAATTACCTATCTCGCCGGGAAACGAGACCCATCTCTGGCTCCACGAGTCAACGGAAGTCGAAAAATCGAGGGATGGAGAAAAACACGCCGTTCGCCGATCAAGTGCGGAGGAAAGTCGGAAGTCGGTGGATAAGTCGCGTCGGGTAACGAGAGGTTGCGAATCGACACGCTGTATAGAATCTAACCGACGAACGCGTATTTGACGATTTGACGTGGGCACGCGGGCAACTCGGAGACGTTCGAGAGCGACGCGGCGAACCCTCCACGCGTCGCGAGATTGTTGGTAAAAAGCATTGCCGGAGGCGAAGGTAATTCGTTATCTTAAAATATGTAAGCACCCGGAGGTAAGACGAAGGTGGAAAATCCTTCCAGGAAGGAAAGCCGGGCCGTGCTTGAGTACACCTCCGGCACTCGCACGCGTACCCGTTCCTTTTTTCCTTGACTTTAGCCCGCGACCCCACCGAGAGGCCGGATTAAAATTTACAATCGGCGCTGACTAGGTCGGATTAACGAAGCACGAAGCACGAAGCACGAAGCACGAGCAAGAGGCTCTCGGCGCGGCAACGTCCACCCCGCTTTCTCTTTTCCGCTCTCGCGAGGAAGCTCCTCCTTTGGTCGGATTGATCGCCGCTGCCTCCATTTTTTCCTTCCTTTTCGCGGTCCGCGTCTTTGCATCCTCCGGACGCGCTCGATCGATTGCCTCGGTTCCCGGTTTCCCGAGGTGCGTCGGTAATTCCTGGCGGGGCAAGCAAGTGGAATCCCGGGATTCGCGAAGGAATTGATTCCGTTTTTCCGAGTTTTCCCGGGGCCTCTGCTCCGGCCGAAGGGCTTTGTACTTTCCCCTCTGTGCTAGCCGCGATGCTACGATATAATTCAATAAAATCGTTCGACTTCCTCCTGGAGAGGGTCCCTCCCGTTTCCTTCATCGCTCGCTGAATTGGATTTCTCGAGTTCGCCCGGGCCGCCTCTCTCGGACTCGGAAACGTTCGGGGACAAATATTTTCTACTTACGGCAATTAGGATTGCGCGCTCGGTGCCGCAACTCCTGCCCCGCCGCGTCTCGGGAGACTCGGCCGACGCGATCCGATCCGTTCGATTCCGTCGCGTCGCCCTCGGGGTCGAGATTTGCCGGCAACCTCGGTCAAGGAGGGCGCCGACGCCTACGTGGGTGCTCGGATATTTTTAACGTCGCCGGGAATTTTTTTTATCGCTCTCCGAGACAGGCGGGAGGATTCTCTCGTGTCGGGTCGGTGCCGTTACCGAGCCCGGAGAGTTTCGTATTATATCGGGCCAAAATTATGCCGGCGTAAAAACATGATGAAGCGACCACGCGGCGGTATTACGGCGCGCACGGAATCGCCCAAGTGCCTCGAAAATTCGGGGAATTTTAGTTGGCATCCCTCTTGCGAGCCCGCCGATGCTAACCGACGAGAAGTCGGGGGACGGTCCGTCCTCCCTCGAGGAAGACCAAGTGGCATTCGCGTTTGCGATAACCGCCGACTGCGAGGGAAGTCCCTTTTCGCCGATTTCTTCGCCGGCTTCCGTAATCGGCTCGACGACTCGCGCGGCATTTTTGACCGAAGGGGAACGGCGAATCCGCTGGGTAAAATTTGACGGGTCCCCGGGATTTCCGAGATTCTCCCGGATTCCTCCGCGTTGCGGGGACATTCCCATGCGAATCGCGGCCCCCTCTCGAGGGAGGGATCCCGGCCGTTTCTTTCGCAAGGAATACCTCACGGAGGTTTCCTCGGAACCGTATCGTTTCCCCGGATTCGGCCTCGGAAAACATCGGGTCCCCTCCGCTCCCGTGGGCACGAGGGGTCGAGATTCCCGGTACCTCGGGCGAAATCGGTTCCCTCGGGCGGAGGAGTCGCGCGGTTTTTCCGCTCTCGCGTTCGCCGTTCGAGCTCGAGAGCCGGCGGTCCGTCTCTTGGCCGGATAAAGGGAGGAACTCCGGCGCACTCGGTGTACCCGTTTGCGGGTGAATTCAATTACCTCAGGGTAAAACCTCTCCCGAACGGCTCTCCGCGAAGGAAATAATAAGAGGACCTTTCCGCGCATGGATTTCCACCGTCGACCGCTCCGTGGCCGCGCATATTAGGTGGGATATAGTGCGATAAAACCGCGGTTTTCTCCGCGAGATGGGATTTTTCTAATTTCTTCGGAACCCCCGGCCAGGAAATTGCTGCGTCTCGCTTTGTGAATTTATCGTCAAGGCCGGCAATCCTCGAGGTAAGAGAGTCGGTTCCCGAAGAATCGACCGAAATCGGGCTTCTCTCTCTCCCTCTCCTGGGGACTCGAGGGGTCCCCCGGCACCCTCCTGCCGATCTCGTCGACCCGGAAATTCGGAGCGAAAACTTCCTTGGAGAGTGAACTCTCGAGGAACCCCGAGAAAAATTTCCCCGAGACCTTTTCAGATTTGGGGAAAACTTTCTACATCGAGCGGTCATTTTCACGCGGAACGTAATGAGCGAGATCGAAGGTCGACTTTTTGCTTGAATCGGGACCGACTAAAGATTCGTCGTTTTACTTGTGACAGATGATGAAGCACGGCTGGGACAACTACGTCAGATATGCCTGGGGGAAGAACGAGCTGAGACCCATCTCGAAGAGAGGCCACAGCGCGAGCATCTTCGGCTCCTCTAACATGGGCGCGACCATCGTCGACGGTCTCGACACTCTCTACATCATGGGCCTCCACGACGAGTTCAAACAGGGCCGTGACTGGATCGCCGAGAATCTGGACTTCGACATAGTGAGTACTCTCCTTGGATCGTTTCCGGGCGGATCGCTCGCCCCGGTCGGCGAGTTCTCGTCCGAGACTTTCGACCTCGACGACATCGAACGAGACCGTTTTGCGAAATCGTTAAGAGGAGGTTAAGTTCTTCCTCTCCGAGTTGGAGTTACGGGGCCAAGGGAAGAGTCAAGACTTGCTCAATTTCCCCCTAACTTCCGTTCCAAACTTCGACCAGCACCGTCCCCAAAGCCGGCTTTGGAGTGGAATCGCGAAGACAGAGCCTACTTTTGTCTGCCTCGCGCGCGAGTCCCCTGCTTAAGAACGGATCCGCGCCGGCAAAAAATATACTTTTCCTTTCGTTTGCACGAAACGCGCGATCGAACATTCATTCGGAATACGTCACCGATAAATTGGATTTCCTACGTTGTTTTGTCTGCGAGCGCGCGCGATTCACTTTGCACCGCGGTATTACAGCGTTGAACGCGGTGCAACCTCGAAAGGACGAGAAAGGAAGGCTTTGGAACGGAGAATTCACCGTATTCTCGGGGACTCTCCCACGCGGATCCGAGATATCCCTCGGAGGATATCCGCCGCGAACGCACGTAAGACCGTCCTGGAAGGATTCCCAGGGAACCGGAGATGCTTTCCCCGAATTAGGAGCGTCCTCGAGGAAATACGAAAAAGGACGCGGTAGACGAGTCTCGGGGAGGACGAACGAGGAAAAAGGAACGAAAGGAAAGGAAATACTTGGCAGGAACTCGAAGCTTTTCCACCGAATCGCTATTATTTTAACAAGCAAGAGCTGGCACCGATCTACGGCCCGAGGAGGGGGGAAGAAGGGAATACACAAGGAATCGCGGTCCTCCCTTAATTCTCGCGGATAGAAACTAAGGAATACGCGGAGCATCGAGCCCGAACAAGGGAGCAATTTGGATAACGAGGTTGACCCTTCGCCGTCGGCCCGCGACATCTCGGGGTCGTGTATCTCGCCGACGAGGGCGGTTCGTTTCGTTTCCGGCGCCGATTGTTACCGTGTACTCCTCCTGGGAGGTTTTTCCCCGGAAGAGTCCGTCCGGTCGACGAAAGGAGCGAGACTTCCGGTCCCGGGGCAGAGGTCGTCCGCGAGGAAACACGCCATTCCGAGGCCTTCACCCCCGCTCGTATAAAGACACGCGGAGGTGCCAGGTGGCGCGTCCGTTAATTAAGTTAATCGTTATGTAAATCAATGCCTCTTCCTCGACCGTCCCCTTCGGCCCTCTCGGCCTCCCTCGCCGCGGGGGAGCAGATACGCGATAAACTTGGGTCGAGCTCGCCCCCCTCGCCCCCGGTTTCCGTATAAGTACCGCGGCGCGAAACTTAGCCCGGTTTATCCGAAGTTGGCAACGGCGAGGCATTAAAGAGGACCGGGAGCACCGGGAGGACGGAGAGGGACCCCTAAGTGGATAACTTGGCGTATTAGCCTCGTGCAGCGGCGGCTGCGCCCCTCGGACTCGTCGCTGGCCCCAAAGGAATTCGACGCGCACCCCGCTACACTTTTCCGCCGTTTCCGACCCGCCCCCGCGTCTCGACCGGAGGAGAGAGATCGTCACACGGTCGGCCCGGTTAAAAAAGACCGTAATGGACGAACTCTGGCGCGCCCTCGCGGCTCCGCCGTCTTCCCGGCGTCATTGTCTGGCGGCGCTCGTTGGCTTCACCGGAGCATTTTAATCACGCGTTGCTTCTCGCGGGTGCGCCTTTTTTGCCGCGCACCCCTTCAAAGTCTCATCCTTTCCGCGACCGCCGTCGCCGACTCTCTTCCCCCGTCCTTTGGTGTCGTTTTCGACCATCTAGGCGAGCCGTCGCCCCGATCGGAGCAGCCCAATTTTTCCTGAGGTCTCGGAGAGAAAAATTAGCTCCTGGGCCGAGCAGCTTAAAAAGCCGCGGGAAACGATCGGAGGCGCTTTCGCTCCCGGAACGGCTCGCCTTATTTACCGGTAAAATACCCGCCGATTATTTATTGCATCGTGAACCTAACTACGCGCTAAATACGCGCGTGGTCCCGTCTAATCGATCCAAACGTCGGGTGGCAGTAAATTGACATAATCGGCCCGAACCCGATGCGCACATAAGTCCGGAAACGTAATACCGGATTTCACGTCGCGCGTCCCGCCCGATATTCCATTACGCGGTGGAGCAATGCAGGGCTCGCGTTAACCCCGTCGTCGCGGTACCCGGCCTCTCCCTTGTCGGGACGAGGAAGCCCTCGAGCCTCGGGGCTGGGGAAACTCCGGGCCGGGTGATTCGGGGACGTCGTCATCGGCCCCGGGCGTCCGCTCGAAAGGTCCGGCGGCCGAGCGGAGCGGGCAGAATCGGTCTCGAGGAACGGAACGCGGCGACGCCGCCAGGACGAGAGGAGGGGCCCGTAACTCTCCCCGGTCCCGGGAAATACCGCTCGCCGGACGCGAGGGGGCGCCAGCGGGGAAGGCGAAATTCTCGATTATCTCGCCCTCGAGACCCCAAGTCGAAACGTCAACGTCCCCCTTGAGCTAGTGGCAAATAGCGTGCCGGGATGATCCGGCTCGGGCTCGGGCTCGGGCTCGGCCGATACCCGGAGCGGAGGGGTGCGACGCTTTGGGCGGGCGAGGGCGAAAGGGCTGGCCGAGGTGTCGGGGGCCTTTTAAGTTAACGGCCTCGTAAAGCACGGATCGGCCCGTTAATACGCGCGGACGAGTCTCGCCTTCGCTTTACCCCGCGAGAGTCTATAGAGACGTCGGGACGCGCTCTCGGGTCAGGAACGACCGGTCCTCCTCCCGAGCCCGGAGGGGGAAAATAAACTCGTAAAACGCGCGGGGCTTTACGAGGCGTTTGCAGGAAGTCGCTTTTCATAAATAATGGCGCAAGGATACGAAGGAAGGCAGGAGGCGGTAACGACCGCGAGGAGGATGCCGCGACGGCACTAACGCGGATGGCCCTTAGGATAAGGTGTCTATTAAATTAGTCGGCGCTAATTCCGTAATGGCCAGCCGGAGGAGGGCGGCGGAAAGGATCGAACGGGCGCGAGCCTCGCGTCCGGGAGGCGAATCGATGCGGGGCGAGAAACGCCGCGGACGTTCTCCGAAGCGACGCGCGGATCCGGATCCGAGGCGGCCTCCTCGCGCTCCTCGAGCACTCCCGGTATTAGGATAAATTGCCGCCATTACGACAGGTGGAGCCGGCCATATTTCGCAATTTCCCCGTCGGATGCGTGCCGGCGCAAGATGCGGCAGATTGCCCTAGCTATTTATGAGCGCGATACGCGTGTCCCGGCCGCCCTTGGACCTTCGAACCGAAACCGCAGGCGGCCGCGACGACGACGACGACGAGCCTCCGTTGTCGCCGTCGTGGGTCCTTTTGTCGATAACGGCTCGACCTCGAGCCGTTAAACGCCATTCGGTCGGGGTCTCGCCCCGCTCGTTAGCGTCTCTCGTCGCCGTCTCACTTTTTTCCTCCCCCGTTTCCTGTTCGAGCCGAATGAACAAGGGCTCAATCGAGAACGAATTTCTTTATCTCAGATAGCAATTATCATGTCACGTGTGGTTTTCAAGCCAATACGTAAATTTCAATCATTTATTGCAAATACGGACTAATCCATAATTTAATAATTATCACACTAGAATTATTTGGAATGCTCTCTGCAACGGTCAGGGTGTTCTATTTCTTCCGTATTTCAAGTTCCGTTTATTCTTTCTCGTGTCTCTCATGTCATATAGCACCATTGATTCAGTCACGTATTAGGCTCATAATTTAAATGGATGTCTAAACAGAAACTCGAGCGCTTCGCTCTCTTATCTACTACCGCGGTCCTTTAGCCCATGATTCGTTTACTTCTAGTCCTATAGCCCATTTTTGTTATTCCCCACCTAAGTCTTCTTAAACAACATTAACTTTTCCCCTTCTCAGTCCTCATGAACCAATCACTTTCGATTATCGATCCCACTCTAATTTCTCTACGCCTATCAGTAAAGGCTTTGTAAAAAAAACTCCGCCCTAGAGGACAGCATCCGAAATCGCTCTGGACCAAAGTTCCTCTGAGCATCGAGAGAAGCAAATCTTCTACCGCGAGAGACGGACATTTCCTGCTCTCAGAGACTCCAAATAGTCTCACCGCGGCTCCAAATAGTCTCACCGCGACTCCAAATAGTCACGTGCGAACTTGTACCGTGCGACCGCCGCCGTTCATAGTGTTATCTTTTACAATTGTTATCGGACTTACTCGTTATTGTTAATAAACTATTTCTGTTACAAATTAAAGTCGTGTGCCCGAACTCATAAAACCGACCTGACTCGAGATTTCGTCGAGAATTAATCAGTCATCAAAGTTGGCTCTCACATCCAGTGCAACCCGCGTTAAGACTTTGTTTCGAACATCCGCAACATCATTTTCTGGTCCTCCGTGACGGATCGTGGAGCGGAACTTAACAAAATCACTAACATTGGGAAGGTTAGGGCGCGCGGGAAAGAGGCCCGGATCTTTCGAGGCCGCCATGCCATCGGCCAGGTCGACGGGGACGCGTTCGGTGTTTCCAGGGGCGTCCTCGGTATGGCACCCTCGCGAGTACGCGGCCGTACGTTAAGCAGCGGAGCCGGTGCGACAATTTTCCCCGGTTATTTGCTAATTGCGGGACGATCGTTCCGCACCGAAATAAAACGTATTAGCGGCGATCGATGCGGTTCTCGCGGTGAGACGCGCGGATCGTTGTCGTCGAGCGCTATTCGATCAATTTTTGTTCGAGTTTGAATAATAACGTGGATGCCGATTAATACCGTCAGCGTTTGCATGACGAGTTTCGAACGAATCCAAGCAAACTCGCGGAAACACGCACAAAAACGGAGAGAAACGGTCCCAGCGTTTTGCGAAAATTGTACGAGTTACGCAAACAGTAAACGCGGAAATTGCTGTCAACATTATTATGCTGTCCGCAAAGTACACAGGCGTTCGATGATCCGGAATAATGTTTAATCCGGATCAGCTGGGTCTCTTAACGAAGATAACCCCGATCGGATTTCCCTCACGGTGAATGGCGTAAAAGGATCTTTAACGCCGATTTTGTCTCGAAAGGACAAAAAGTTTGCGGAACGGGCTAATTGCGCCGGGTAAGTACGTCGCGGTCATCGAACGGCGCGTTACGTGCGCGCCCGTCTCTCCGTAAGTTGGTCGGATTCGAATTAAAACCGCACACGGTGGAAGGAGAATTCGCATAGGCTCGCAAGGAAGAAATTACAAGTATTTTCGGCATAAAGGGTCGAGAGAGGGTGCGCTACAGACAGAAAAGTCGAATGGGGTGCGGGAAAGCGACAGGCACGCGGCTGCCATAAAGGGCGCGCAATTTTGCTAACGAAGCTACGAAAGAAAACCGCGAGTCAAAGGTTGCACAGTTGGTTTAATGATGTCGTTTCGCGATGAAAAAGTGTACGAGTACGCGCAAGTGTACCCGCGGTATGTCCCCAAACATGGACGAAACTCGTACATTCGGAGCGAGCTCCTCCCGTTCGGAGAACCAAGTTCAATTTCGTCGGAACCCCCCTCTTCTCGATGCCGCTCAGTTTCCGCATCGCTGGAAAAAAAAAAGGATCCGTTCTTAGCTTTCGTATCCATAATTTTCCGCTCGTGGAACAGCGCGACGAGGACGTTCATTTTAACGCGCACGCGGCATCGAAACTTGCTAAAAGAGGATCGAGTTTACGAAAATAATTCGGTAGCCGAGTTTTCCGGGAGAGTGAGTTGAAAACGTTGCCCGGGAGAACGAAACGATTAAAATGGATCGGCCGCGCGAGCGGCCCGCTTTCTATCGCGAGTTAAAAAGACTCGGCGAAAATAGCTTCTCGCGCCGGTGGTGATTTGGAAATTCCGAGGACGAGGAAAACGCGTTTTCCGCTCGAGCCCTTTCGTTGCGCCCTCGAGATTGCAGGATCTAGGCGGACGCAAGGCGAGGTTTCACCGAGACCTACGAATGTCGGATGCGATAACGCGCGCCCGTGTCCGCGAAGAGGACGGTCTTTTTACCCAGCAGCCATCTCGCAACGGACTCGCTCCGCCGCTTTTCCGGTTCCATCCTCCTTTCCTCTCGCTCTCGAAAGTAATCGACACCACCAACGTCCCAAACAACGTTCCGCGTCGTCTGCCGCGTTAATCCTCGTTACTTCGCACCGCCACGAACGGCTAGTGTTAGGTCCCTACCTAACGTTTTATTTTAAGTAATATGAAGAAAGAGATTAAGCAACGCGTTCGTGCTCCAAAGCGCTCTTGGAGAAATGCTCTCCCTCGTTCCTATCCTTTGTTTATCCGAGTACTTCCGCACCCCAAACTAGATAACCGCCCTGGGAAACGTCAAACATCCAGAATCTCTGGAAAAGACACTTTCCAACTGTTTCCCCTTCGACCTGTCCCCAAGCCAATCACATGAGACATTTCCCTCCTCAATCTTAAAAACCCACCAATAAGCATCCTCCTCCGCGCCTAAGAACATCCTAGGTCAGTATAAAAAGGCCCGCTCCGAAGGGCTCACTCTCTGATCTAAGTTTGAACCGTCTCCATTCTGTAACCTGCGTGCGAGACACCTGTAACTCTCGGCGAACGCTAGTCCCCTTGAGTCGACCGAGTCTACGAGTCGTTCCTATAAACCAAGAGGCAATTGAAAATAAAGTATCTTCGTTACTTTACTCGACGAGGTCTTTGGCTGGTTTCAACCATCTGGAAGCGAATCCCCAAAAACATACCCACGAGGCCATCGGGTAATCGCCATCACCGCTCCCGAGTAAACGATCCCCGACCTAACACTAGCCGTGCGAAGTAACGAGGACGATCGAGGCGGGCGGCCCATAAACCGGCCGACTTTTTGGAACGAGACTCGTCGATCGTCTCGTCACGTTTCGACTCGTGAGCCAGAGCAATGCCGATGCGTCGTAGCGACGGTGGAGCGGAGTCGAGGCGTCCGCGAGAACCCGAGCGGCGTTTAACGGTTAATCGGAGCTTAACGGCGGCTCGGGAACGTCGGCGTCGGCCCATCGCCTCGGTGGTCCGCGCTCGGTCCGAGCCGAATTCCCGATCGCTATCGGGACCGGTACCTCGACGGCGCGGCGCTAATAAAGCGTTCGGCTCTATTAAAGCCCGTTTCTTGCATGCCGCGTTGGACTTCGACGGTTTAAGGTGAAGTGAAACACATCGAGGAACTCGATCGACGTCAATAAAGAAGATTTCTCTAAATGCCTACGTTTCCGACGTTCGTTTTTATATTGACAGCTGGGTCGAATTATATTGGGTATTGTACCAAATGGCATACTCCACCTGTCGTTTTCGTACAATAAATATCAAGAAATCGAAGTAAAACTCCAGAAATCCTCTGGATTCATGCTTTCTGGGGCTCTAATTGGCTGCAGAGGGACACCCTGCGCCATCTGTGATTTCCAGGTTAATTAAATTTTCCCTCCGAGATCTCGTATTCCCATCGTTTTAGCATAGAAGCGCATACAACACTTTTTTTGCCGTTATCCCGTTCAAATGCGAGTTTATCGATTACCAGAGTGTTTTAAATTGTTGTAAAATTGTCCTGACCCTTTCGTTTCTCATATCAGAGCCTTCGTTAATTGTATATTCATCGAAATATGAGAGCTCGACGCCATTTTGGTTCTGGTCTGGGCTAAGTTAACAAATTTTTTCCAAAAATCCAAATTTTAAATGCGTCAGGACAATTCTTAGATGATCAGGAGTGATGTGTCAAAGTTTCGGACAGTTTGGTCTAAGACCCTTAAAAAAAAGTGTTGTATGCGAATCGACTGATTTGAAGGGGGTTTCACTTCACCTTAAGGCGGGGCGATCCGGGACGCTCCTCGACGGCGTGGCGGAGAGGCCGCGTTCGCGACGATTCGCCAAAAACGGACGTCCCGATCGGTCCGCGGCGTTGTCGGAAACTCGGTCAATTTACCCGGCATTTTTTCGGGCCGAGCGCTAACCGTGATTACCGGTGGTAATTAAAACGCGGAACCCATTCCTACAGTTAACGCCCCGATCGTCGCGCGAGCGCGTGCAGCTCGTGCGCGGACTGTCTCGATGAGCTAACTTCTCGTTCTTTCAGAATTCGGAGATATCCCTGTTCGAGACGAACATCAGGTTCATGGGAAGCCTACTGGCCTGCTACGCCCTGACGGGCGACGTCATGTTCCGCGACAAAGCCGCGCAGCTGGGCGAGCTCATGCTGCCGGCCTTCCAGACGGAGACGGGGATTCCGCATTCGCTCATCAATCTCCACACGGGGGTAAGTGATTCCACCCCGAAGGAGGAACTCGCCCGGGAGATGCTTGCCGAAGGTAACTTTCCCAGACTCGAGTCGTCCGATTGTTAGCAGCGGGGTCGCGGTCAATTAGGCCCAGACGCGCGTCGTTCGGTGAGAATTTTGCGGCCCTCCTCGGGCTTCAGGAACCGCCTCGACGCAAGACCCGGAAATCCGAATTTACGGAGAGCTTCGATCGGGGAATTCGAGCGCGTTCGTTGGGAGAACTATAACCTTCCGTTGCGAGGCCGCTACGAGACGTCCGCATCCATCGACGGGGAAACATCGTCTCGACGGGAGGGCGCGCACTCCCTTCCGCCAGCGCGAACGTCAGAAATTAACGTGGGATTTGCGAGCAAAGTTCCTTCCCCGATAAGGAGAATCCGTGGTAGCGCGTCTTTGAATTCCTTTGGGAGCCCGCGAGCTGCTCCTCGCCAAACTTTTTCGCGAGGTAAGCGCGGTCGTTTTAAACGGAGAAGCTCTTCGCGTCGCGGAGTGGCCCTTTCCCGAGGAAAAAATGCAAATCGATGTAAACCCCGACGAGGCGAGCCGAGTCGTTGCACGCACCTACTCGTCCATCTTCCTACGTTGAAATTACCGCCGACAGCTTAATTGGCTGGATTAAATTATAAAACGGTCGTGCTTATCTCTGCCGTACCGGATTTTTAACCGGGACTCTTAATCGCGTTTCCTCGTCCCCCCTCCTTTGTCGCGGTTCTCCCTTGCTCGGCCGGTGATCAGCGATTCCCGAAAGACCTGGATCGACGGCAGCGATGGACGGGAAAGACGAATCGGTCGATTTTGCGCGCATCGTGCGTCGCGCGGTCGTCGGGGGTGGACTCGACGTTTGCCCGTAAAGACGTAGAAAAGTTCGCCGTTGTTCCCCAGGCGAGCAAGAATTACGGCTGGGCCAGCAGCGGTTGCAGCATCCTCTCGGAGATCGGCACGATACACCTCGAGTTCACGTACCTGAGCGACATCACGGGCAACCCCGTGTTCAGGAGCAAGGTGGAGAACGTGAGGAAGATGTTGAAGAGCTTGGAGAAGCCGAAGGGTCTCTACCCGAATTACATCCATCCCAGGACGGGGAAGTGGGGCCAACGTGAGTACAACCTTCCAAGACTTTCCGCGGGTCGAGTCCAGATATTCGGCCCAGGATCTCGCGAATGCCTTCGTTTGACGAAAATGACGCGTCGTTCGTAGGAGACGACGTCTCCGCGTCTTGCAAATATCCTCGCAACCGCCCTTAATGCCTCCCGTCGCGATCCGTGAGTCAGGCGATTCTCCTCGACGATTCTGGCGCGCCCTCCGGAGCCTCCATTGGGACGATCCATACGGACCCGCTCGGTTTCGGGGCGAGCCGCGGTGGAGGAGCGTGCAGGTGCAGCTGCATCGGAGCGCTCTCGCGTTACGGTAATAACCGTCGCGCGGAAAAATGGCATCCCGGCGTGTAACGCGAGAAGCGGCCTCTCGGCCCGTATAAATATCCGTCCCCTTATTACAGTAATTTCATTTAATAAATCTCCGGAGAATTCCGGCAAATAGATTTTTAAAGGGCCGACCTCGCGAGGGTGCGCGACCGGTTATCAATTGCGGCCATTAAATAGGTCCGGCGCGGCTCTTCCCTGTCGCCTCTCGCAGGTTACGTCCGCCACGCCGACCCGGCCGGGCATCCATCACGCCCGGGTTCCCTCGGGCGATCGGGACCTTCCTCCGACCTTCCTCGACGTCCTCCGCCGCGACGGGCGATGATCGAGGAACGGCCGACGGGGATCGCCGCCCCCTGTCGAGTCGGTCGGTCCGGGTAACGCCGGCCAGTCGTCGTAGCTCATGGGAACGGACGAGCGCGACCTCGTCGAGCCCGGCCTTCCGGAGAAGGTGCTCATTTTTCTCCTCTTTTTCTTCTCTCTCGCTAACGTAAATATACCGCGAAGGCTTGCGGTGTCTCTGGTTGCGCAATTCGGGGACGACGGGATGGAATAACATCGAGACGTGGACGCGCGCGTCGGACAGGAAGTAACGCGATCGAGCGGTCGCGTCGCCCTACTACATAACGCGGGTCCAGCTTCGCTTCCGAAGCGTCTCGTTTCTCTCCTTAAGAAGTTCGAGTATGTATTTCGTTCTCAGCCGCGAAAGAAGGTTCACCGTTCCGGTACCTAATCTCCTTGGAAATCTCTCCGGCGTGTGATCCCGACTTTCGTGTTCCCGACGGTGCGATTCCAATTGGCCAGGGCCCTCCAGGTTAGGTTCGTACCCTCGTCCCGACGCGGCCGCGAACTTTGCCGTTTCTCTCTGACACCTCTTCGTTTCTCCTTTTTTCCATCGACGTCTCGACGCCCTTCCAAGAACGGGCCAAGTCGGGTTCCTGCGCTTCTGGCGATTCGGCGTCGTGACGAGAAATTATGAAGGAAAAAGGAACGGCAGGACGCGCGACTAGGTCGCCCCCGGGGTCTTGCGCGCCTCTACCGAGAATTATCGCCCCTGGTCCTTCAACCCCGAACGAAATATCCTGCATTCCTCCGTCCGTCTCCTCTGCCGGGGGATAAATTATGGGACATTTTTTATTTCACTTTATTCCACCGAAGAACTCCCTTTTTATCGAGCAAGGACGCGTCGAGGAGGTCGTCGTCCTCTTCGCTATTGGAAAATTCTGCATACTTCCGAAGATGGCCTCCTTCGTTTTTCCTTGACGCGAGGAAGGACCGATAACGGGCAGCTACTAAAAATGATTACAAACTATAATCGGTAAGGGTCCTGGTTTCCGTTTGAGCGTAACTTATCCCAAGCCAGAGGGAGGACGAAGTTGAGGGAAGAAACCATTTTCCCTTGTAACGATCGCTTAATGAGGTTAACAGTGGCGGGCTATCATTTATCCACAAAGTCGTTTTAAGCGACTACTCATCGCCCCGGCTAAATCCCAGTTTCCCCTCGAAATTTTCCTTTCCTCCCTTTCCGTTCCGTTCCGTTCCCGGCTACCTCAGCTTTTCACGAGCCCTCGTTTTTATTCCATCGCTGGGCAGCCGAATGAATTATCCAAAGAAGTAGTTTGCGATAATCACCGTCATAATTCACCGCTGAGCAGATCGCGAGAGTCTCGACAGAGAGTAAAAAATTCGTCTTTACGTCGAGCAGATCACATGTCGCTCGGCGGCCTAGGAGACAGTTTTTACGAGTACCTGCTGAAGGCCTGGATCCAGTCCGGAAGAGAGGACGTCGAGGCCAGAGAAATGTACGATTCCGCGATGGCTGCCATCGTCGATCACATGATCGTTAAATCGCCGGGCGGACTATTGTACGCCTCGGACCTCAAGTACGACCGGTTGGAACACAAGATGGGACACCTTGCCTGCTTCGCAGGTGAGATAATCCCTCCTCCGCGCGCGCGCGCTTTGGTCCGGGACCGAAAGACCTCGGGTCGGCCGTAGAACCTGCTCGAATCGATGAAATCGGTTTCTGTCCCTTTCTAGGTGGTATGTTCGCCCTGGGAGCTAAAACCCTCGAAAACGACGTGTCCAACCACCACATGGAAATCGCTGCCGGGTTGACCAACACCTGCCACGAGTCCTACGACCGCAGTGCGACGAAACTTGGACCGGAAGCGTTCCACTTCATCGAGGGCAACGAGGCGAGGAGCTTGAAGAGCGGGGAGAAGTACTACATCCTCAGGCCGGAGGTGAAAAGAGATCGCGACGAAACGCGCGCGCTTCTTTGAACTCGCGGCCGGAAATGCTTGAACCGACTCGCGAGGCGTATTAACCGTTTGAGTCCTAGGGGGTATTGAAAAAACACTGTCGAAGAATCCCGAACAGCGCAACCGCGCTTTCTCTAAATGAGCACGAGAAGACCCAAACAGCGCGATAGCGCTTTGTTTATTTTATGTCGATGAATCCCACTCGGCGCGATAGCGTTTCTTGAATTGTAAGATGTATTATTTACACCCTTGCGTTACGATTTAAATTCCAATAGCGCGTGCCATAAACAACAAAAGTGTCGGTCATACGTCGGCCCATTTCACGGTTTGGCTGAACGTAACTTCTCATACGGTTTGTTTACATTTGGCCCGATTGACATACCACGTCTCTCACACGTTTTGTTTACGTTTGGCCCGATTGATTTACCACGTCTCTCACACGATATTGTAAGTTAAGAGGTTAAAAGAAGGAGCTGTGTAATGTACTTGGGTCAGTGAATCTGAGCGACTTTGACAATCGGTGACGCAATGTGCTGGGTTTTCTCGACATAAAATCTGAACAGCGCAATCGCGCTGCCCGGGACTCAAACGGTTAAGGAAACCGACACGGACGTTTTGGTTTCATCTCACCCTCTCTTCGCAGACGTTCGAGTCCTACTTTGTTATGTGGCGGTTGACCAAGGACCCCAAGTATCGGGAATGGGGTTGGGAGGCGGTCCAGGCTCTGGAGCAACACTGCCGAGTTCCCGGAGGATTCACGGGACTGCACAATGTCTATCAGCTGGACTCGAGCAAGGACGACGTCCAGCAGAGCTACTTTTTCGCGGAAACGCTCAAGGTGAGCAGGCGGAGGCGGGACGTATTCGTATTCGCGCATCCCGCGGCCCGGGCTGCTTTTACCGCGGTCGTTAAGGATTAAATCCGATAGAGCGTGGCTCAATTTCCTTGGGCCACGGGCGCGCGTAAAACCGAGAGTCATATAATCCGGCGACAGCTGGAAAGGGCCGCGTCCTCCCCGGTACCCGGGAGGAATTCCGAAAGGAAAGCTTCCCGCGGGGCGGAGGATCCTGGAAACGCCCGTGATCGATCGCACGACCAACGATAAGCCCCGATTTACACCAAAACGGGAAACACCGGGCGTACGGCTCGAACGGCGGTCGGGATCGGCAGAGCTCTTTGCGGTGCCGTCGGATTTACCCTCCTATCGAGCACGGATCGCGTTCGATTATTTATGTACCGTTGTACGTCCCTGTACGGGACCCTCGTGTCGAACGATGACGCTCGTTTGCTGCGTAAACTGGAACGTTAATCAAGATCGTTTCATTTTCAGTACCTCTACCTATTGTTCAGCGACGACGATCTGATCAGCTTAGACGAGTGGGTGTTCAACTCCGAGGCTCACGTGCTTCCTATACGGGGAAATCCTTTGTACCGCCTGGCCCCAACCTTATAGACCCCGACGAGTCGATCGAGAAAATTCGGTAACTACGGCTCCGCAATAAGGACGTAAAATCGGCGCACAGCGAGAGAACGTCGAGGCGACGACTCTCGAACCCGCAGGACGACGAGACGAGGTGCGATTCCTGGGCGGAAGTCGCCGCGGAGGTCGTGCCTCTCGTCGACACGGACCTCGCGGAGCGTCGCGACCGAGACCGAGACCGAAACCGCGACCGAGACCGAGACCGAGAGACCGATTAACTAATTTAACGAAGACACGTAGGCGGCGGATCGTTACTATCCAAGTTTGTATATAAAACGAAGAGTATCGCGAGAGTGAGTGCTTCGCCATCCGTCACCGTTTTCCAGGATGAAGACCCCTGGATCACCCGAACGGATCTCTGACGTGACGTAAATTCCAAAAGACGCGGATACGGTTTCCAAGAGCCGTGCTATCACATCTTGTGACTGACAAATCACCCGCTGATATCGTGGCTCGCGCTCGTTCCTAGATTTATTCCGCGAGACGGAGCAATTCGTTCGTTCCCCGAAAACGTCGCATCGAACTATGCGGGGAACGAATCTCTGGCGCAAACTTTGTACGAATGGTGCGCGATCCATCGGGGACTTGTGGCCGTCAAAAGATCTGAGATGGCTGTGCGATTACGTATCAATGTTAACTAATGTACCGTATCGAAATGCATCGCTCCTGACTCACAATCGGTCGGTCCGAAACTGCGATCTTAAACTCGGAGGATCTCGGATATCTCGAGAACGACTCCACGATTCGGGTTAACCGAAGAGTTTCCTCCTGGATAATAATTCTAATGACCTCGTTCAAAGGAATCGGGGATACGGAGATATCGATAACGTTTTTGCATCTGCCGCCGACTTTCCTTTGATCCGACAGTGAACGCCAATTTCGCAAAGCGAGCATTTTAATTTTAATACGAGATCGCATGGGTGATGCGAACACGTTTCCGTTGCAATTTCGTTTATGTGGCTATATTGCGATAGCGCCGAAGCAGCCGGAATAAGAAACTTCTCACTTAAAGAGTTGAAACGGATTCTTTTTTAACCGGACGTGATCTTATTTAGAAGAGAAATCCCACACGCTTGGTATATATAATATATATTTTCGCGATGCAGATCAGTGTTGCGTAAACGAAATCGCAGCTGCATCACCTTACGCCCGCGTAAGATGTGCAACTTTTGTATTTAACATGATCTACGGTGGGGCGAGAGAAAAGTCTATATAATTTAAAAATATGTATATTGATGCGACATGAATGCGCGCACGTGACGAGATCCAAAAGGCTAGGTCGTGCAACTGTAACGAGTAGGCGAAGGATTCTAGTAGCGAGGCACTATGGATAAATAGACACTGTACATAAATATTGAGAAAGAGAGTCATATTCTATCGAGGCGACGCAAGGAGTGCGCTAGGGACAGTGTTATTTAGAGACAACGTGTAAGTGTATAGCGTTCGCGATCCCTGATACATTCTCGCGATGAAAGTGGAAGGAAATGCTCGTTGGTGCTCGGGTACGAGCGGTAGTACCGAGGCGCACTACTTCCGAATACAATCAGCGTGCTAGGCGCGCTTCCACTGGCGGTTAACGGCCAAAAAGTTACTTAAATAACATATAATTCTGACGGATGTCGTTATCCTCGTTCGGAGCGACGTCTGTATCGAGGCGAAAGTCTGGTATCCAATCACGACCAGTGCTCGATGCCAAACGTATTCGCGTGGTGCTCTTACACAGAGATGGCCACATTTACACGTTAAATATTTTACGTACCATTTAATCGCACTCTTTGCCTGCCTCGTTTTTAAATGAGGGAATACCGACATCCAAGTCCGGTCTATCAATGGGAGCGTCATTATCTTGTATATTATTCTTGGTTATAGAATGCGATTTCAGTTGTCCGATAACGTTTTATTTTCAGTCCAGAAACTAATGTCGTCCATCTCTGTTTGGAGTTCTCACATTCGCGATAAGATCCCTTTTCCACTTTTATCCTACAAAATGAAACAGCCCGCTCGCGTTTTTCGAACTCGAGGATCACTTTTCCGCACTAAACGACAAAGGTCCTTGAATAGCGTTGAGCGTACAATTTTAAGCGTAAGTTTAAACCGCTTTAGAAACTTGACGACCAGACTTCGGGTTTTTGTAACGCATTCTTGTAAACATCCGTTGAACATACTTCACTCGCGGTTCTCCGAGGAGACCCCCAGTCCGTGTTTGTAATAATAAACGATACTGACATTAGTAGTTATAACGATAAACTATACATACTTTTGTGAATAGATATATTTAATAATTTATTTCCTAGGTAGAGTACGCGGTATCGCTTTCGTTTCTTTTAATTTTTTTTAATTTTTTTTTTTTTTTGTTAACTTGGTCCATTTTTGCGACTTTTCAATTCCTCTTGTAGTTTTCCGGTTAACCGGCAACGCGGCTTCGTTAAAACGAGATTTGGGGTTAACACCGGCCTTGTCTTAACATCTGCCGCAAATGTCTCCGTGTTTACGAGTAGAGAAGACGCACGGTCGCTTACCGAGACAAGAAAATCGAGCATTTTCGTTTGATTAGCTATTGCGCTTCTACTAATTGAAGCGCGCATCGCGAGGTGAAACCGTTGTTCGATCACAATCGTACCGAGTACCGCCATGTGTCGCGCGTTACACCGACGATTGAAATGAAATCTTGTTTACGTTTCTAAGTTACTAATCGATCGTATCATTTGTATAGAAATCCGTTTTATAGTAGTAGATGGAAGAATGGAGTCGCGACATGCATAGGTCGCGGAGATCGTTGGCTGGACCCCATTTATATCGTTATTGACTCGTACCGCGTTAGGGGCCAATTCTAACTCGATCGAACGCGTTTCTTCCAGGCAACTAAATCCGTCTAACCGTCTCCGAGATTGACCGAGGATCGTACGTCCGAATTTTATTGCGTTTTTCCGTACAACATAGAAAGGCTCGTATAAGTTTCTCCGGTGGTTGCTTTTTTTTTTTACACCGTTATACCCTTCCAAACCACGATGCATTTTTCCGTTTGGATAATTACGATAAATTGCATCCGATCGTTCAAGGTGAGCAATAGATTGCAATTTCCGTAACGCATAAGTTTCAGGTGCAGGTGGTGTAATCTATCTAGGGTAACGAGATAAAGTGTCACGCGAGTGATTAGTTTATTAGAAGCCCAAAAAAACGCACGAGAATGGACTTTTCCAGGAAACTGCATGGCATTTGTAAATACTCTAAACCGTAATCAATTACGGGGAGGGTTACTCTAACCAGTTTATGTGATTATTTACTTTATCATTACGATCAGTGAATTAAATAAATATTGGTAATATATACACCGAACAAGAGCCAGTTCACCCATCGGCCGTTTCTATTTATTTCCCCCGCCTTCTGGACCTGGTCGACTCGTTTCTGCTCCCTTTGGATCGCGCCGTCCCAAACGGTCCCTCGAAACGTAAACAAGCACGAGAAATTCACGCGATAGCGCGTCAACGGTCGTCCTCCTGTCCTCGATCCCGGTCTTTGTTCCTTACGTGAGATCCCAACCTAAGCGGTCGCAGGCTTTCCGACCGAGTGGCACTCTTCCAATGACTGCCAATTCAGGAGGCCTGGTTCGGATGGCGCGGCTGGAGGACGGGCACGAGGAGCCGGGTCAACGCAGGAAGAACGATTCTCCGGAGGATTCGTCGACACCGAAAGGAGCGCCGAGACGGTCGCCGGCTCGAAAAAGGCAACGATTCGAGTACGCTCCGGTCGCGCCACAAGTAAAAATACCGACGTGGGTAGGGTCCCGAGGGCAACGGTGACGGCCGCGGCGAGGGTCGCGGCGAGGGTCGCGGCGAGGGTCGCGGTGACGGTCGCGGTGACGCCGCGGCCTCGGCCCGTGGAGGGAGTCGGCCCGGAGCTCCAAGAGTTCGCCCCGGTAACTCGCCGACCTTCCCGGCCGACCAGACACGTTCCGACGCGCGACGCCCGCGTAACGCCGCCCCGATCGGCGGATCGACGGTCTCTCCTCCGGTCCGCTCCCCGCACCCGGCCGGTTGGATCGAGCGCCGCCTCCTGCCCCTCCTTCCCGGAAGACGACCCTCGAGGAAGTCGCCTCCGGTGGGTCCCGTCCTCTTCGGATAGGTCGAACGCTCTTGGAGTCGAAACGGAGATCGAGAAGGGACCCGAAATGGCGACGCTCGGGGTGCTGGTCGCCGCTTGTCTCGTAGGTGAGTTCGAAGTCCGTCGGGGATTACGTTCTTCCTGACATGGCACGACCTGGCGTTCCGACGCCTGTCGAGACAATGCCAGACCGTTCGGGAGGAGCGGAGACGATTTGCCCTTTACGGGGCCGGTCTTTGAGCTCGATCGGACGCCTTTGTTTATAAACCGACCCGCGCAACGGAATGCGGCAGTACGGTCCAGTCCGCGGGAGGGGCAACACGGGGACGCGACCGACTCGTGACCTCCGGGCGCCACGAAGCCCCGTCAACGTCGGCCGACGATCGGCGAATCATCGATAAGGTAAAATATCTGCGACGACTCGATCCGTTCGTTTCGTTTGGCCTTCCGAGATATCGCAAATCGTCGTTTCCTCTGGTGCGTCCTTCCCGTTGTTCCCCAGGTGGCGACCTCTGCCTTCGAATTGGCCGTGGCCGAGAGTTATTACCGAGTTAAGTTCAATGTCGCATCCTGCCGACCGTTACGAACCGTGCCGTTCTCTTCTCGCGTCCGCTTGGGCGTACGCCTCGTAAACCGAAGCTAATGGGAGGACGAATCGGAACCGCGCGATTTCCGCGACGCCGAGCTAGCTGCTCCGTCCGCGGACAAAAGTGCCCGTGAGACTTCGTTTACCCGGTGAAACTTTGTACGCCGAGGACGCCGACGTGGTCCTGGATCTCGGACTAATGGATTTTTAAAGCTACGCGACTCGCGACTACCGAATCCAGAACCCGATGTCCGCCGGGGAAAGTGTCCGACCCGAAACCGAACGAGTCCTTTGGCGTAATCGGCAATCGTCGCAATCGTCCCTGGCGGCGAAAATCTGTATTCGCCGAATGCGTATCGATCCGTGGAATCGAGCTGGCTCGGAATTATCCCGGTGGGCGGCCAAAATGTCCGGCTGGACTTCGATTCGTGCGAACCCTTCGGCCCTTCGCGAGGTCGTCTCCGTCCCCGACCGTCGCGTGTCACGCAACGATGCGTCATGCTATTTTTGCAAACCGGGTCGAGTTACGCGAACGCGCTCGTCAGGTTTTCGGGAAGGGCATGTGCCGCCGACCGATACGTAGAAAATTCATTCTAGACGTTACGCGTCGTTTCTGGAATCCGCTATATTTAAACCCTAAGATTCGTTCGATCGTTCTTTTTTTACCGAAACTCGTCGTACTCCGATTCCCCTTGCTTCATTTTGAAGACAAGACGTGCAGAAAAACAGCTTCGCGTTGATTTAGTCGTTGAGTAAAATATAAAGGGCATTTTCCGAATTCTTTGGCGATCGTCGTCGTACTCGTATTGCAATCGTAATTCTTGGCCGACGAGGTTCGGTCTCTCGCCGACGCGTTATTTTGTCCGTTCTCCTCTGTGTAACGTCTTCGTATAGTCTCGAGTAAATTTCTAGAGCCCATCCCTGTCGAAAATTCGCGTGGGTGAGGTTTGCACGGGAACCTACACTTCCGTGGCGCTCGACGGAACGTTTCGCGTGCCCACGCACGTTCGCGTAAACCAACCCGACCGACTTATTTATTCCACGCCTAGCATCTGCTCGTCCTCTTCTTCGTCCGTCATTTCTGTTCAGCCCATTTCATCGACTCGACGTCTCGAAACGTAGGATGACGTGAGGTATAAAGATCGAAACCGTAAATAATTATCAGCCGTTAAATGGGAACCGAAATGCATTACGTGCACATCGAAAAAATTTGGTTACGACGTGCACTTTGTCACGTCACGGTAGAATCATTTCGATGTCGATCGAGTCACTGGCCGGTTTCAACATTCAAGAGATTACTCGACGTTTTTTGCGTTTATTGCGGTATTCGCGAAAACTCTCGTCGAAGGAGACTTCTGATTAAAGAAGAGAGCGATGTTATAACGCTCTTCCTTTTCAAGAGAAAAATTAATTCGGCGTCGTTTCGCTTGGGTTTTGTATACTACGTAAAGAAATTGCACAACCTGCTAGGCAGAAGTTATCTCCCGGTACACCGAAACGTTATTCATTCTAAGGGAGAAAATTTTGGAAATGTACCAGTAGCCGCGTTTGGCTACATCGCGCGTTCTCGGGTCCGATGCCGAAGTCAGCTCTTTCGCATCGGCAATTGCGAATCCCGGTGCGACTACTCCCAAACGTTCTGATTGATAAAAATTGGAATATTTGTATGCGCCCGTTGTTTGTGCCGTTCGCGAATGTAGGCCCAGTACGTGATAGAAACAGGTGCACGGGGAGATGTTCTCTTCAACGCAAATACAATAAATCTACATCCGATCGATCGAATCTGCATTCGAACCGGTCTCCTGTTGGCCCGCGAGTTACATTTTTGGAAACGCAGTAGGCCAATTGCAACGCGTAGAAACACTTTATATTTGGAGCATACCGCTACGCACGGTGGAAAGCAGTATTAGATTTGACTCTCAAGACAAATTTACCAATACTCCCCTACTTTGGAACGTTTACATTTGCGTCGGATGATTTGGACGTAATTCTCAAACGCACGGAGAGAAGATCGGCCAGAATCTTACCGTCATCTACGGGGGAATGTACAAGAGGGTCCGCTGGGTTGAACTATAAATATCACTTATAAGCTCGCGTGTGTTTCGAGTTATTCCTACGCACTCAGGATGACCCGAGTAATTTCTCCGGTTTCCCACCGTAAGTGCACCATTGGTACGAAGCTCGTGTACCATACATGTAAACGTTCATTCGCTCGTCCATTGACATTCGGTTCCATTTTCCTATCGACTGAGCCGAGGTCGTAGAAAATCTTATGCGAAGCGATCGTAAATCGAACGAATCGAATCGTTTAACCGTAAAAATCGAAAGTCAGCTTTTCATAACGCCCCGCGAATGCATCCCTACTTGCGAGCAATTAGAAAGCAGGGATGATCGTCGTGGGATCGGGGAGGATCACATCGGCGACGAGATCTCTTTTTCCCGCGATGCGGATTCGTCATTTAATCGAAGCAATGGACCGAGTGGACCACCTCACCGAGAGGGACATAACCTAACTAGAAACGATACTTTCGTATCCTCGAGAATCGCGGTCTGCTCGAGAATTCCATTCGTGTCGCGTTATGGCCTTATTCTCGTTAATAAGAAATTACCCGGTGTCCGCGGTATCAAGGACGGAATGCGGAAATGGTCGATTCGTTGGAAAGAATTGCCTTTATTGTAACCTTCCGGTAAATCGGGGATAATTAAATCTATGGAACGGTCGTTGTCCGTCGCGACGAGAGCTCTATTGATACGATACAAAGGGTCCTTGTCGTGGGTCGACCGCGTCGTTGTGTGCATTAAGGTGAAGTGAAACACGTCGAGGAACTTGATCAACGTCGATAAAGACGATTTTTCTAAATGCCTACGTTGCCGACGTTCGTTTTTATATTGACAGCTGTGTCGAATTATATTGTGTATTGTACCAAATGGCATATTCCACCTGTCGTTTTCGTACAATAATTACGAAGAAATCGAAGTAAAACTCCAGAAATCCTCTGGATTCATGCCTTCTGGGCCCTAATTGACTGCGGAGGGACCCCCTGCGCCATCTGTGATTTCCAGGCCAATTAAATTTTCACTCCGAGACCCCGTATTACCATCGTTTTAGCAAAGAAGCGCATACAACACTTTTTTGCCTTTATCCCGTTCAGATGCGAGTGTATCGATTACCAGAGTGTTATAAATTGTCGTAAAATTGTCCTGACCCTTTCGATTCTCATATCAGGGCCATTGATAATTATATACTGATCGAAATATGAGAGCTCGACGCCATTTTGGTTCTGATTTGGGCTGAGTTAAAAAATTTTTTTGAAAAATCCACATTTTTAATGTGTCAGGACAATTCTTAGCTGATCAGGAGTGGTGTGTTAAAGTTTTGGACAGTTTGGCCTAATACCCTTAAAAAAAAAGTGTTGTATTCGAATCGACTGATTTGAAGGATGTTTCACTTCACCTTAAGGCGTGCACCAAATCGCAGGCGGTACAAGTAGGACCATTTTTTTCCCCCGACGTCAGTGAACGATAGGGGGTCCTCTGCGATATTTCGGGAGCGTGTCAATGTCGCGACGGGATATTTTTAAACGATTCGAACGCGAGGATACCCGTAATGCCTCGGGTCACGTCGAGGTCGCGCTCGCTCGGTAACAATGGCCGAAACCTTTTCGAGATTTCTCCGACGCGAGCATGCGCTCAGAGAGGGAGATCGTCCCTTTCGTCGACGTTCTCGAAAGAGAACCACGACAGCGATTCGATGAAGCGAGAACGAGCCGAACTTGGATGGAAAATTGCGGCTTGCGACACTCGAGCCAGCGTCGCTACCTGGAGATATCTCGAATCGGTCCGAAAAAGTAGGAGCGGGGACGGGAGTTCGCGAGGATGAACGCAGTGATATTGGAAAATAAGAGCAAACCCCGAGCAGGGCCGCAGTGCGCGAAGGAGCCAGGATGCGACTCGACTTTGCCGGCCGTCTCCTGGCTCCCGACACTCCGGCACGCGTCGAGTTTATGTTAATGAGTGGTAAATTATCGGAAAAGAGGCCACCACGCGTAGCAGGCGTCCATGCCACCACGGAGGTCGACGGGGAGCGCGGGGCAGCCGCGCGCCTGGTCCGCTCGCCGAATCCGTCGACCGGTGCGACCGGCGCGACCGGCAGGGGCCAGTCGGTCGCGGGTCGCCACTAGTCGGCGTCTCGGATGCCCCGGGGATGGCGCCGTCGAGTATCGGTTATCGATTTCGCCACTGCGCCCCTGGTCGCCTCGCGATCTTCCCTCCCGTCAACGAACGCCCAGGCGCGCGCTCGGACCGCTACCGAGTCGACGTCGATCCCTTTCCTTTCTCAAGTCCCTTATTGGCCGGAGCGGAGCGATGAATTACCCCCCGTGTCTCTCGGACGCGATTAACTTTGTTGCGGTGGCGCACGAAAGCTCGCGAGGTAATGGGAAAGGGGAGAGAAAAAACTCGCCCGGGGTGCCGCGGGTATCTCCGGGAACCAGAGAAAGAGATAAATTGGATTCTGCGATT